CTTCTGTTTTATTTTTATGTGTCCTTTTGTGCTGTTCCTGGGGCTTTCCTGCTCAAGGCTGATGCTCTACCACTTGAGCTACGGCTCAAATTCTACATTTTTGGCAGTCAGTTAGAAATAAGAGTCTCATAGACTTTGCTGCCTGGGCTGGCTTCAAATCCTAGTCATCAGATCTCAGCCTCCTGAGTAGCTAGAATTATGTGTGAGCCACTGGTACCCAGCTTCTTTCCTTCTATTTTGATAGAAAGTGATAGAAAAAGAAAATTTAGTTTGTGTTTGCTGGGCACCAGTGGCTCATGCCTGTAATCCTAGCTACTCAGGGGGCTGAGATCTGAGGATCATGGTTCAAAACCAGCCCAGGCAAGGAAAGTCCATGAGACTCTCATCTCCAACTAACCACCGGAAACCAGAAGTGGTGCTGGGGCTCAAGTGGTAGAGCACTCGCTTTGAGTTGAAGAGCTCAGGGACAGCGCCCAGGCCCAGAGTTCAAGCCCATGACTTGAAAAAAAAAAAAAAGAAGAAGAAGATAAATGAAAGAAAGAAAAGGAAAATTTAGGTGTGTGGGTTCCATTTTATTTCTGATGCATCACACAACCTACCACCTCTCCCCTCAGTTTCCCACTCACTTCCTACCACCTCCCAGAAACAAAGGACAAAACACCTGTAATTCCAGCCCTCAGGAAGCTGAGACAAGAGGACTGAATTCCAGCCTGACAGCTACATAGCCTGACGCTGTTGAGAGAAAGAGACAGAGAGACAGAGAGGGAGCCAGAGACAAAGATGTAGCATATTTGAAAAGAAAGAAAGGACAGAGGAGCAACCACCTCTCACCTGTGGAGACAGTGAGGTTCTCCCTGGAGCTCACAACTCCATCTTTCTCCACCCACACAGAACACACATAGGAAGACCCAGGTTCAAGTCCATCCACGGTGACCCAGGTGTCTGTTGTGTTTCGAGTCTCAGTCCTGTCTCCATCTCCAGTGCACTGGGCCCAGTAGGTGAGGTTGTGGGCGTCCGCGCCCTCAGGGCCAGCCCAGCCCAGGGTGATGGAGCTGCTGTTCTGTCCTTCCAAGCTCAGGTTTCTCACTGGGTCTGGGGCTGGAAGTGGGGAGGAAGAGAGGAAGAGGGGTGAAGTGGTGCCTGGTTCCCAAGTTCTGCAGCCCTTCCCAGAGCCTGGCACTCAGAGGGTGGAGGTGGACACTGAGGCCGCACATCCAACATGGTAGCTCCAGTTGCACCAGAATGTGGAGCTCCTGGGGTGAGGCGAGGGGTAGCTTTGGGGATATGGGGCCACTCACGGAGCTGGGCAGGGCCAAACAAAGTTAGGTTGTCCAGTACCATTGCTCCATTCATGTTGATTGCACACTAAAGGTCAGTGTTTTTCACTGCGGGGCTACCAAAATACTGCAAAATAATCTGTGAAGCATGCTGGCTTTACTCCATCTATTCTGATACAGCAGATAAGAAAAGTCAGTTAAAATGTGTGTCTTCCATGAGTCATGGGTCCATCTTTCTTTGGATCACAGAATCTGCCCCTGGCTAACCAGCTCCCAGCCTCCCT